TTAGCCAACAGCAGCTACTTCAATCCATGCAATTGGCTCTGGCCGAAGAAGATCATGCAGTGCCCTGTTCGCTATGTGATAGAAGTTTCTCTAGCAACAAGGGATTGCAGCATCATACACTAGTGAAGCATGGAGGCCAAAGAGCAAACCAGTTGGGCCCTAAATTCCAAGTCTTCGCACATAGTCTGCAGGGACTCCCGCAATGTGCAGCATGTCACAAACAGCTGCGCACAATGCATCAGCTTCGCAGACATGTTGAATCGGGAACATGTTCAAAGCTTCCAGAGCTGAGGGAGCGATCATCGTCCTGCTCAGGAGCGGAGAGCACAGCCTTGCTGCTCCAACCAAGTGTTCAGGATCAATTGAAAAGAGACCCTGACCTGCTTCTCAAAAAGGCTCATGTGACCAAGCACCTGCGGGCTTACTGCAGCCTCTGTGGGCAGTTCATTGTCGGTCACAAGGGCGTCAAACAGCACATTCAGAAAGCGCACCAGGCTTTCTGGGCAGGGGCCTCAGACTCAGTCTATGCCAACATGCGCACACATAAGAGACTGCTTCATAAAAAGGAGGAATGCAGATATTGTGGAATGATGGTTGACGCTCCGGTTCGCCACGCGGACCAGTGTGTAGTCCTGCTGCAGGTCTATGCCATGAGTGCAGCAATGAAAAAGTCTACCGACCCACACATAGAATATGGCACTGTGACGTCGGAACTTGGGATTCGTGCGCAGGAGGGTTCCTACCAGGAGGCTTCCTCCACCAGTAGGATTCGGTCTCACCAGGCACCAGCAAGCTCCCAGCGAGACGCACCAGCAGAGGGGAGACCTTCGTCAGTGCCCGTCACAGCCTGGTCTCTGGCCTATCATAATCCGCATCAACTGTGCTATGCACACACAGTAGTGCATATCCTTGCCTCGCTTGCATCAGAGGGTATTCTTTTTGATCCATATCTGAGACAAATATTGACGGAAATTGACGCAGTAGGGGGTCGTTCTTCTAGTGTGGATGTTCGTAGGCTGCGACAGCTACGTCCTCTGCTGACGGGATGGCGATTCAGACCCAGGCAAGAAGATGCATCCCAGTTTCTGGCACATATCATTCAGAGATCCCATGTGCTTTCAGCAGATGTTTGGGAAGCGAGGGTTCAAATCACAGCACCCGTGGAAAGAATCAGCGTAGAGGATAGAGGGGGTTTGATTCTTTTCTTGCCTGACCCACCAGATGGCCTCTCCACACTACAGCAAGCCATTTCTCAGTGGGCGCACAGGGGGAGCACCTATGGGCTACTCCCGGGAGTGAACCTGGTTTGCATTCAGATCCAAAGGTTTGAGCACTTGGAGAAAACAAATCGGCCTCAAGTTTTAGACACAACTCTGGAGCTTCCAGAGTTTATAGATAATGGCACGACAACCGCTGTGGTCAGCTTTCGACTATATGCATTCATCATTCATCTAGGAGATGATTGGAGATCTGGGCATTATAGGACAGGTTTTTTGAGAGAAGAAGTGGCGTATCTCGCAGATGATGACCGCTCACCACGGCGAACTACGCTCCTCTCGGATCAAATTTGCCAGGGATCGTATTTGGCTTTCTACGTAAGGTTCTAGCTCGCTCTACCTTCGCATGCGGAGGTTTCCTCCGGAGGCTTCCTCCGCAGCAGTGTTCTTTCTTCTTAAAGTAGACCTATCTGCCTGCTGTTGCCTGAGGCAACTCGGCATGAACGCTGCCCTGCGCGCAATAAAGCCATGATCTCGTGCTAAGATGTATAGTCTCTTGCGTGAAACTTTCACATGCGGAGGTTTCCTCCGGAGGCTTCCTCCCCGGTAGTGTTTCTCACAGTAGACCGTTCTGCCTGCTGTAGCTTAAGGCCAAGCTGACCCATTCTTGTCCCTGAACCTGAAGCATCTGAAAGAGCCCTGCGCGCACTTCAGAACATGTGAGGTCTCCTCCAGGTCGGTGGGTTCAGATTAGGGTCACTTTTTCGGATGCAACCTTGCCTTGTCGCAGCGCTGGCCCCGAGAGCCGTGCAAGGTGTCCCAGGTCAGGTGCTTCCCTCTTCGCAAACTACTCGTGCCTATGCGAGACCTCCTCGTCAAGTTCGGTCAGTTGGGGTCACATTTTCTCGACCAGGAATGCAATTTTGCCCTGTCGCAGCGCTGGCCCCAGGAGCCGCGCAAGGTGTCCCAGGTCAGGCTTCGCAAACTTAGCTACCCTGCCTCCAACTTGGGCATCCTTCTTGGAACGTGCAAGGCCGCCTTGGTGCGCTCTGCCTACGGCCCTCTGCCAGTTGTTTAGCGTTACCTGTGTGAGACGTCACTAGACAGGAACGCTGAGTGTCGGCCTCACCAGAGGTACGGCTCGCTAAACAGCTGGTGCGTGGGTGCTGGACGCAGTGACTCACAGTAGGGTGTCGGGGTAGCCGCGCTTATTTTTCACTCTTTTGCAGTGCTGAGTACTTGATATCGGAGGCTGCCTCCGTGCCAACTTCAATTTCTTCACTTTGGGCTTCATTCTTACCGTTTTCTTGAACCTATTGATTCATTGCATCAGATTAGGAGGTTTCCTCCTGAATATTCTTAAGTACTCTGCCAAAGCAGATTCAGAATAGCAGGTAGTGAGACCTGGCAATCTGGAGGAAGCGATCCTCTCGAAGTCCAAAAGGCCGGACTGTGAAATAAAAAAGGCGGGTGAGACCTTCTATATCACACTTGCCCGCCTTAATCACACCAAACTCAGCTAGCGCACATCTACAGCCTGCAACACAACATCGGGGCCAGCCGGCACTGCAGCAGTCGCGGGTGCAGGTGAGCCAGTAGGAGGCGGTCGTAGGGTGTCCAGCCAGCACAGCGCTATCGCAGCCCTGAGGGGCGGATGCGTTCCACATACTCGAACATAGCTGTGCACAACAATCCTTTCAGCAGCCCTGAGGGGCGTGAAGTACGAACTAGCAAAGACTGCTGGAGCTCCCAAGGCGGATACAGAGTAGCCGACGTGCCGAGGATCCAAAGTGATCAGAGGTCCACATGCTGATTCTGGCAGTGAGTGCAATGCAAAAATGTTGTTGTTGTTGTTGTTGTAAGATTCTGGCCCAAGATGAGGATTTTATTTCTCGTAGCCGTAGCGAGCTTTCTTGGGTGCCTGGGTCCCAAGTCCCAGGGTCCAGCCATGGATCAGAATCGAGGGTTTCGGGAAGTAGCGCCCCCCGATGAAGCTGAGCAGCATGCGCAGCGTAGTCAGCTAACCATGAACAAAACCGGCAAGCGAAGCTACCAAAGAGCTTGTAAAGTTGCCCTGGCGAAGGGAGCAGCACTTTACAAAGGCCGACTTCTGACCGCTCAGGCTCTAGGAGCCCATGAAGACCAATTTGCAGTCTCTGAGAAGCCAGAGCAGCAATCTTTTCAGCCGATCAGACAGTATCACCACAAATTTGAAATTGAGGTTTTATCTTGGAACGCAGGTTCAATAACGAGTCGAGTTTGGAATGAGCTTCTGGCCATTTTGGCAACACCAGAATATCAGAACATCAAGCTTGTGCTGCTGCAAGAATCCCACTGGCAGCAGGAACAAACCTACAGCTCAGGTCCATGGTCAGTCCTCACCTGTGGCTCTGAGAGTAGACATAAAGCCGGCCTCGTTGTCCTTGTGCATCGATCCGTGGCCCAGCTCTCAGAGATTCGCAGCACCACCATAATTCCAGGGCACCTGCAGCATGTCATGATTCCTTGGCAGAGGTCTAGGATCCATCTACTCAATCTGTGTCAGCATGTTTGGGACTCCAAACTCTCCAAGTTGGACAATAGACGACGGAGGAAGGATGTGCTGAGTCAACTTGAGACTCGCCTTCGCAGAGTGCCTTTGAGAGACTTTATGCTTGTTGCCGGTGATTTCAACTCACATGCAGTCACAGAGCGTCCTTTCATTGGGCCCAGTGTGCCTCGCCGAGCCAGATTTGCCAATGCAGATGTTAGATCGCTCCCAGAACTGTGCAGATCTTGTGGGCTGACAGCGCTCAACACATGGGCCTCCAGCCATAAAAGCACTTATGCAAACAGCGATGGCACATATGAGTCTCAAATTGATTTTCTGCTAGTTCGACTGCAGGATGCCCGGAGGCGGTCGAAGGAGGCTTCCTCCGATAAGAATTTTCCAGTTGCAGCGTACCGGGATGGCTCCAAGCACTTCCCGGTCAGAGCTAAACTGTTTGTTCCTCCATACAGTCCTCCCCCAAGCAAACCAAAGCCCTTTGATGCCACTGCACTTGATGCCAGCTTTAGACGAAAAGATGAAGACTGGCAGGCTTATTCCAAGCACCTAACAGCTGAAGTAGTCAAGAGTGTGGCTGAGCAGAACTCTTGGCAATCGATCGACAGGACGATGGTTCGAGTCACTGCTGAGCAATTTCCACCGCCTCGCAAGGCTCAGCCAGTTGCAGGGCCCATTCAGCAGGCTTACTGGACAAAGGTGCGCCAAATTCAGGAGCACAAGCGATCCGGTAATGGGCAGTCTCCTGAGTGCCAACAGCTAATCAGCGACATAAAGACAGAGGCCCAATCTTTCAAAAAGTTGCAGAAGCAAAGAAACCTTGAAAAGCAGGAGAGGCTCCTTCTTCAAGCCCAAGAGGACAAGAGACAGCAGTCTCACAAACTGTCCCAAGCCCTTAGAAAGCTGGCCCCATGGAAACCTGCTCAAAGGGTCAATCTCAGGGATTCAGCAGGTGAGCCCCTAGATGCGAAGGCCTCGGCAAGTGCGATGCGAGAGTATTCGAGTCACATCTTCTCCAAGGGATCTCCCCTGGATCCGGTGGCAGCCAGACCACGAGAGGCTGTCAATGCCTCGCAGGTGGCCGAGCAAATAAAAACAATTCCGGTGGGCAAGGCGGTTCCCAGCATGTCGGCCCCGGTCTCGGCCTGGAAGAGCTTAGCGCCTGAGGCTCATGTGAAGACCGCTGATCTGATAAACACAGAGGTTTCTCAGTCAGATATCTCACCGTACTTGAAGGA